CTTTCGCTTAGAATGGAACTCAGGTCAGAACTATAACTATTCAGCGATTTTACCACTCGGCCGCTGCTGGCTAATTTATAAAGAATTCATTAGGAATGAAACGATTAGCGTCAGGACAAATACCAAAGCTACATGAATTTTGTAGAAGCGCGAGAAAATCAAACAAGATTCTTTGCTATCCACAAATTTCTGCAAATATAGAATGTAATAAGAACCATTTTTAAACTTGCTCATTTGGAATTATTTAAAAATGTTTTTTACAAAACAAAGGTGAGTATTCGGAAAATATACGTAAAAATGGCTACATGAGATACACACTTTCATGCAGTTCTTCTCGTTTAATATAAACATGAAAACAGAAATTAGTTCCAGTTACCCGAAATATCTGATATCCAGTTACGTAGATTATTTATCATTTCTGTATTATCCGAAATTAACCTGGTTTACTATGTGATTTCAAGACTTGCTTTGGTTTATATAATATGAAAATATTACATTTTACAATGCATACTGTTGATACTGCATATTGTTGATGAATACAGTGAATAATGTTCATAAAAACTGTTGATGAATCTGTATAACGCAGAGCCTTATCCTTTCTGATGTTTCAGGCAGCTGCTGGCAATAGAATGCATATGTTACCGTGAAAGACCGAATTTGGAGAACGTCGACTTTCACCGGAGAATATCAACATTTCACCAAATACGTCGGTAAAAGACCGAATAATTCACTACATTCTTGTATATTCGGACCCTCACCGGTGTATGTCGACAATCACAGATATGCTGTGGTGAAAGTCGAAAAGAGAGGTCATAAAGTGCCATAATAGTTTAAGTTGTTGCAATAAATAAGATTTGAATCACATAATTTAGTAAGTTTTTTATTACTATTATTTTATTTTCTCATTTAGAATGTACTGTATAATTAAGTAAGTTTTTAACTTCTATTATTTTCCTTTCTCATTTTGAATGTATTGTGTGTTTTAGGTTCTCATGTTCGTAAATTCTTATTTCAAGTCTAGTCTCAAGTGCGTTTATTCGCGACTGAATTACGGAGAAGAAAATATAATATTGTTATATGTTCAACATTCACCATTAGTACATGGTGAATGTCGACATTGACCGGTGTAAGTCAGAAATAAGAGTATTTGGAAAATATTTCGGACAGACACCAAGACTATGTGAATGTTGACATTCACCGGTGAAAGTCGACATTCTCCAGATTTTCGGTGTTTCACCGTAACACATATACTGTATAAATAAAGAAAGGTAATAAAATATTAAGAGAAACAACAGGTTATTAAAATATGATGGCATGTCTCTAAATGCTAGACAGATAAACCATTTGATTTTCTTTATTAAAATCATAAATGGTTTCAAACTGTAAAGTGCCACAAAAGTATCAGTACATGTTTTAGTATTCAATTTATTATTTTATTACTTTATGTAAATTAAAGAAGCCATTTCTAATTTTAATTGAGGAGAAATATATTATAAGATTTGCTTAACATAAAAAGTTTTTTACTTATTTTTAGCACTGTAAATATTCAAGTTCGTGTCTTTCATTTTAAAATCGATGCAATTAAAATTAAATTTCATTTATTTATTTTTCATCAAATAGAAATGAGTATTTATGAAAATAAAAGCAATTCCACTACTTTTTGTCGGCAAGACGTGTTTTATATTTTTTTACGGCCGAAAAATCATTTCATTTCTCAACTACACGTAAATTTATAACTTTTGTTAAATTAAACAAGGGTAATGAAAATATAAAATTACTTTGATAAAAAATATGTGTTTGTCCTACAGTAAATAGGCAGCGCAATTATCGGGAGTTTTCAATTACTTCGACGGACTCTTCAGGAGTTGGCTTTCTGCTATAAACATATTTCCGATAGAAAAGTTTATTTCTTTTTTGAATATGGCAAAGAACACGAGGTCTGTTCTATAGAAGAATTCCAAGAAGTTTCAGTGCTTTATAATATGCAAATTCACAAGTTGTTACAGTGAAAGTTTTAAATTCTTTTATGAAAGATTTTCTGAGTTCTTTAAATACAACTGCAAAAATTAATATTCTTTCATTGTCCATTTCTGCAAACGGTGCATCAAAGCAAAACTAGAATTAACTAAGTTAAGTAATGAAACTAGATGTAATTAGATAGTTATATGTAATTTTTAAATTTCTAATAACAACATAAATTATCTTGTTTTCAGAAGTCATAAATAAATTCATTTAAAATAAAATTATGAATTCGTGTAAAGTTTGTTGGCAGGGATTAAATACACATTTTAACTTACAGAAGTTTTTTCATTGATAAAATGTTTTACAATGGGTTAAATTCTGTTAGGACACAATTTCAAATTCTTTAGAAAATGAAGTAATTTATATTTTACACGCTTTTGTCACATGTGTTTTATATTTACTTTATTTTTGCGTACTTTTTATTTGTATCTATAGAAATTGATGTTTGAATGTAGTTATGTAAGTTTAGAGCCAAAAAAGTTCTAGAAAACCATAGTTTCCAATCGAAGTGTGGAATCATTATGAAGCAGCCTTCAAACAATGTCCTAAAACAACAAATTATTACGAAAGCTTTCATAAGGAACTAAATTCATTATTTAATTGTAGCCATTCCAGTAAAGTCATGCTAGGAAGGCGTAAGAAATACCTTATATATTACCCCCTTTTAAAGAGCGACTGGGATTTTTAGGGGACCCAATCGCCAAATCCTGGGTGTGAAGAATCATCATCCACCACCCTTTTAGTTCGGGCGCCACTGTAGAGATATTAGGTATTTTGGAAGCAGGAGATGTGAGAAATGAGCAGACCCTTCGCCGGAAATCGAACCACGGACTTCTGGAATACGCGCCCAGCGCGCAGACCATCACACCACGAAGGCATGCCAAGAAGGCGGGAGAATACCTTATAAGTTTATGTGAAATATGTATTTATGATTTATATATAACAAGGTATTTTACATAATTAATTATTTCTATTTGCTTATTCTTCTAAATGCTTATATTATAAAATTTGTAACTTATACTTACTATAATTTTATTTAACAATTAAAATTGTAATAATTTTTCGCTGTACATTCTGTTTCATTTTTATTCCTCGCTCATCTCTTTTTCCTAATTCAAAGCGGCCCATTTGTTAATCTTATACAGCAACTAAATATACACATAAGTTATACAGTTTTTGATATATATACTGGCCACTCCCCACTAGGAAGAACGTAAGTTAATTAATACTTTTTCTGGCCCTTATATCTTCATGTACATTCACTTTTCTTATTATATTTTTATTTTTATATTATTTTTTATTTGTTTTGCAAAGTTTGCATTATTTATCTTATATTATTTTGTAATTTTCTAATGTTTATATCAACTAATTTGAATTCTATTTCATAATGACAATTTCCAATGTTTAATTTTTACAAATAATATTGAACTCAAATGCATAAACACGAGGGTGTCGGGGAACGGTTACTCGAGATTTATAGAAATTTACTGCAGAAATTGCTTTCTCACTCAAAATAGAATTGGTTAAAATGCTTAATAGGAATAAGTTCTCTGAATATCAGCATTGGCTCATAATCCCTTCTATTCACGGAAATATTTGGCCTGTCTTGAATTGCCGGTTTGGCTTAGCCTTATTGCTCGAGTAAAGACGAAACACCTTCGTATTTATTTATTAATTATTGTTCATTGAACGGGAGTTGGTTTGTTCCTCTTGAAAAGTCAACTAATTTCCGATCAATGACAATGATTACATGCATTTAATTTAATTCTTGCCTTTAATTTATTCCTTTTACAATTGAAATTTTATTATTCATGATTTAATTCCAGTCCCCGTTAAAACATTTTTAACATTTTACTTTCAAGTTACTTCAAAACATCTTTCACGATATAACTTACTAGTATGAATTCACTCTTTTAAGATAATCCTACTATAGTTAAACTTAGGAGATAATATAATCAATTCATCAATATGTTTTAGAAAATAAATTATTATATATATTCCATACATGTTTTGGTAATTGAAAGAATTTTTCTTTGAAAAATTCAAGTAGGTGTACGATGTTCAAATCGATTAATTATTGATTGTTTAATGTAAGGATATTTCTACGTATTTTATTTATCAGTGGGATTATTTCCATGTGAGCATATATCTATGTGAGCTTTTTTTCGTGTGAGCATATTTCTAAGTGAGCATTTTTCCATGTGAGCTTTTTTCTATATGGGCATATTTCTGTGTGAGCTTTTTTCCTATGAGCATTATTCTGCGAGCATTTTTCCTGTGGGGATTTTTCGGTCATCGATTCAGCATGGTTGTTGTCACTGGAATGATTCCGTTCATTTCAAAGAATCCGAGCACAGTTATGAAGCCATAGGTATTCAAACTAAAAGACACGATATATATGTCTAACTATTTTTAATCGTTATTATATATTTATCATTAATGAGATTTTTAAAGTGTAAGACAGCGGCCGAGCGGTAAAGACGCTGAACACTGGTAGTTCGGTCCGAGGCTCGAATCCCGCGAACGGGCTGGCTGCATGGGCGTTTTCGTGGTTTTCCCCATGTGTAACGTGTATACGAGCCAATTTCCCTTAGAAAGTCCTCCACGAAGGCATCCCTCCCTTTAGGCGAGATAGCCCTCGTGTGCTTTGCCATAATTAAATAATCCAATCCAATCCAATTAAGGTGTAAGAAAATTTTGCAAGCCTATTATTAAAATGGAAAAGGAACGAATGGCATAAAATACATTCAAAACAAAAATTTACGACTAAATTAATTCAATTTTGTGTATTAACTCTTCCACTGTTGTGAAATTAAGCAATTATTTCTTTCAAAACACGAACGTTATTTGTCAGTCATTGCGTACACTGGCGGTGCGTAACTGAAATGCAAGCCGTATTTGATGATCATCAAAATGTTAAATAAATCTAACAAAATTATGCCACGAACAGATTCACAAAATAAATTAGAACAAAAAAATTATTTTTGACATATAATTTATTGACTGAAAACACAACAATATATTTCAGATACAATTTATTTACAAAATGAGCAGAATCTAAAATCTTTGGCCTTTCGTCAAAAAATATACATAACAAAGCTATAATATTACGTTTGCTAATAAAATATAAATACACTTTGGCATTAGCTTTGGTCATTGCACTTACGTTCAAATGAAATCACAAATGGTAAGACACAAACAATTTTAATGTATAAAAGTATATTACTCGCGTAGCAAAAAGATTCTGAATTTTTTTTTAAATATTAGTGTAATTTTCAACTTCTTCAAGGCGTTCAGAAAGCGAGCTATCCTAAATCTTCAAATATATTCTCCACGTAGTTACTCTTACCAATCCTTCTAACCGATTTGCTCATGGATTTTGAGTGCATGGACTCTGATGAAGCAATAATCAAATGCTGAAAGGAAAAAAGGGATATCAGATGCTCTTGATGGTTCATTGCACGAGACAAGACAGATTGAATGGTGACTGGGCACAGGAAGATTGCATCGACTCTCAAGCTGTAGAAGACGACACAAACAGCAAATCCAGCAGCATAAAATGACTGAAAGCTTAGGGAGTAGCAGTGGACAACAATAAGAGAGAGGCTAGATTCAGAATTCACGGAAGAAATAGCTTAGTAGATATTGTAATGTTAATATTACAATTTAATCTTATTGGCATATAGGTTTCTCTTAAATAATTACCATTTTGACAACTATCTGCAGTTTATCCATGAATGCTTTTCAAATGTTATGTTAACTGCCTCCTTTGGAAATTAAATTATTCTCATAATTTTCTCCTCATGATTTTCAGACAACAAAATTAATAAGAAAAGGGAAAATACGTGAGTAAATACGGTAATCGTATTATGATCAACTAGTATAATAATAACCTGTTGCTTCCTCAGGCAAAAACGTTCTGTTAACTGATTAATCACAAAATCCAGTTCGTAAAAGCCTGTTTGTGTGAATCATTGCTTGCATAAGTTTTACTATCAGAAAGGCCTCATCTAATGAGCATAAAAATTGAAACGTCAGACAAGGCACTGAATTTATGAATCAGGAAATTTACATTAAATTTCTGAGCATGAATATTAATTTTGAATTCAGATATAAGATAAATCCCTATTACTTAAAAATATTCTATATATTAATAGGAAGATCAAAGACTGAGGTAGCCTTAAGGCAGATTTTTATATAAACTGCTATAAAAATTGTATCCTGATAAAACCGTACATGCCTAAAAAGTCGCATGTTTCTTCACATTGCTTTTAGGTATATATGTATGCATACAAACATTATAAAATATGTATGCGTTTGATGAAAAATACGCTTATGTCTACTCTGTAGCTGCCATACTTATCAACAACACGTTTGCATAAGTTTCACCTGAAGCTCAAACATTTCACACGTAATATTGTTAAAAGTTATTTGTTAAAAACTCCAGTATTAGCGTATTTATATAACGTACTATTTCAAATTTAAGCAGAATATTTTATTTATATTTTTAATACTTAAAAAAGGCGCAGCTTTAATTCAAAGTGAATATTTTAACAACATATATCTGCTGATCTCCCACTACCCAACGATTAGGTGATAAATAATTGAGGCTTAAAAATGAAAATGATTTTAAAAATGGGTATTTTTCACTACTATTGTAAATTTTACTATTTTCTTACTATTTTTCTATTATTTTACTTTATTTTCTTTTATTTTACTATTCTTACTATTTTTTCATTTTCGCAGTTTTTAAAATCCTACTGGGCGTTTAAATTTCAAGGCAGATAATTTATTATTATTTTTTTTAATTTTGAAGTCCTACTGCGGCTTGAATTTGAAGTAATATGGTATTAATACTGGTCGACTTTCCGAAACTATTCCGTAGCTGGTTCATTCTTAGGCGTGAGATCAAAAATATGAAATTATTTTATGTGTGGTAATAGATCATGCTCGGTAAACCAAGGTGTTCTAAGAAAAAAGTACATTTATTTTTATACCATGCGTATCAAATTCATCCCATACAGAGTACTCATATCTCTCTTTGAAAGACTTTATGTCTTACCAATTAATTATTTAAAAAAATGTTTTAGAAAAGCATGAGAAAGAGCGTATATTATGCTTTGTGGTTTGATATTTTACAAGCCAAATGAACCTTTTCTTAAAAATGTAATAGTGCTGACTCGGGCTCCTAAGACAACGTTTGAGATTTTCCTTGCCATAAAACTTTAAGTCACAGTGGAACGTTGAAACTCCTACTCAACATGTATATGTTTAGAGCTCAACTGAGCATTTTGATTTTATTCGCGTACAGTCAGTCTGTTTCACAACTATGTCGATCACAACTAAAATCTTGGAAATCCAATAACTGCTCTCTAAAGGGACTAAGTGGGATTTTCGTGTTTCAGTTCCAGTGCCCACACGTGTTGAGGCCATCCTGTTCTTCCACTGGCTTTCCGATTTCTTGTGCTATCAACTAAGTGGGATGGCTGTCAAAAGAAAAAAAAGTCTTTATTTCGTATAATAACTCTAAAAAAAGGAAAACAATCACACAAAAACATGCATTTTGTCAAGTAACGAAATATTCTGAACATTTTCAAAAGGACTTTGAAACTTTTTACGTATAAATGATTCCCGTAACTTATATATTAAAACAGAAAACTCCTGTCCTTGCAAAGTGAAATGAAGAAATAATGGTTATCTTTGGGGAAAACAGGTGTTTACAACTGAAATCTATTCCTCAACAATATAAAGTTTTAAATTTTTTACAGCAATGTGAAAATAAACAATCGATTCTTGGAATAGTAGTCAATACGTGTGACAATCATTCACTATTTTTCTGCAATATTACTGGGCTGTCTACGGCCTTTTTCCCCATATGTAACATTAATACGAGCCAGTTTCGTTCAGAAGGTTCCCCACGAAAACATTTCTTAATCAGAACAGCTCAATGCCACAATCAAATATTTTTCAATTCAAGCTTAATGATACCAGGTGTTAAAAACTCATTGCCATAAAACTTTAACCAGTTTTTTACATTTTTAAAACTAATTTCACATTTTTTCAATGTTATCAGTTTTATTAATATCTACTTCTGTAAGAATAGCGAGGAATAAATGAGTATTTCTCTGTATTCTAAAAGTAGTAATAACTTTTCTGGGCCTCGCGATTTCTAGATTAATCTATGTCATATAGCTTGCGTAACGCTGTGTCGTAGCTAATTCGGAACTTACTCAAAATTTTGAGAAATGAAACCTTTCTCACCTAAGCCAAAAACCTTCTCTGGGTGAGCTTGCATAATGGATAAATGCGCAGTTTTAGCTTCTGCCTCTCTTCCGATTAAGATGCTATTCTGCTTATCGCAGCAGTATTAAAAAAAGTAAGTGTTTCTGAATAGGCACGATTAGAGTGCGAAGTAAATTGTGGCTCAAAATGTCAATTAAAATAAAAATGACGATTTGATCTGCCTCGACTGCCAAGTTTGCTGTTCATTACGAATTCAACATTTTATCATTATGCACAAATATATAGCTGTACGTATTATGAATACTAAAAATCTTCAGCACGTAACAAAAGCTTACAGAAATAGGTTTTTGTATGCAAGCGGTTGGATAAGATGCATTACACTAGGTGTTTTTTTTTAACTGATAAGTCTCAGAGCAATTTGTAATTCGGCTTATCACCTGCAATGCCACCAACTTTGTTCGAGGAACTAATGACCATATAGCAAAAAGCTACCACGGAAAAAAAAAAAAAAAAAGTTGCGAAAGTTGCCGATAGGGGAACATGTGGCGCTGTTCTAGACTATAAAACTGAAAATTTGTACGAAACGCAGATAAAATTTGGAAATGTAAAGTATCGGTTACGTAAACGACAGCAGTAATTCAGTCTCTCATTGTACCTCAGCACGCGTTACTTCTGAATTTGTTTTATTTTCATCAATCGAACGCAATCATCGATTTTCGTGATTATAGAAGTCGTAACAATCTACGTAAAGGTCCTGTATCAACTGCATTAAAAGGCATACTTCAGAAGCTTCAAGAGGATCCTTAGTAGTTCGGTTTGGTATAGGGTGGAAACCGGAGTCAGAATAGACAATTACTGATGTCGCGACTGCAATCTTTGAAAGAACCCGTGGGACCATTGCTGCTAGCAGCTGTACCCAGGCATAGCGTGACAACTGGATTTGAATCTTTCAACGGGAAATCTTGTGAAAAGTTCTTCACTTCTACCCATACAAGGGAATCCGCATGCAAAAATTAAAGCACAACTATTATCATAAACCGGTGGCATCTGCTCTGACATTTCCTGCCTGGATGAGGACGAAGATACTTGGCTTTGGAGGATTCTGTGGGAAGATGAGGTCCAATTTCACCCAAATAAGACTTTAAACATTCATAGTTCTCGAATTTGGTTATTCGAACTGCTTCATAGAGGTTCAGAAAATACATCTGCACTCACTAAAAGTCATTATTTGGTATGGCTTTACAACAGACTTCATTAGCGAACCATTCTTTTTTTAGAACATTACAATAACAGTATCCCACACCTTTACTGTTACCACGCAAAGGTATCATGACATGCTGAATAGTTCGTCATTTCTCATCTTCAGGAGCGGGAAGTTTTGTATCAGTTAACCTGTTCAGGACCAGCGTCGCGTATACGCGACACAACGATTCCACTCCTACCAGCCCAGCGTCCAGTATACGCGACGCAACGATTCTGCTCCTACGAGCCCAGCGTCGCGTAAACGCGACATCAAAACGGAACGATTTATTTGAATTTTTAAAAGCCAGTAAATGGAGCTAAGCGGTAATTGTTTTCATATGGATTGATTCATGCGGCATTTGATCTTCATATCCTGGCATTAGTTTCTGTTTTGTGCTTTCTGGCTGTGAGAGATTTATTGAAATAAACAAACTGGAAATTACAAATAAACCAAACAAATAAACCATGAATTACAAATTAACGGCATAATTTTTGTTTATTTCGTTAGGATTATTTTTCTTGTTTTCCTATTTATTTTGAAACTTAACATAAGATTCCTTGCTTAATTGAAAAATAACATTACAACATTATTACAGAAGGAGAAAGACTATCAGCTTTCTTGACGCGTAATGCGTCTTGCTCGCATTTCTCAGGAAAGAGTCAGCGTTTTTGATTTTCTTACTCGATTTAATAGGTCATTATATATAATACCTTGAATGCTCATTATATATAATGACACAGGCGTTATATTTTGGTATTTAATGTATTTACTTTACATATAATGTAATTATATATAATGTATATATTGACGTGATCAGTAACGGATGTCTCGCCAGTGGGGGGTCTTTCCTTGATCACTTTCCTGTAATTGTGGACGCTGTTTTCGATTTAGAGAAACAAAAAGTCTTCTAATATAAACCTGATGTCACACAGGGTTTGAGGATGAAATATTTCTGAGTGTCTTTTGAAGTTTTGTGACATGTGATGGGGTTATATTCAGTGTCATTCCGTTAGCCATGGCTAAGAGACCTTACCTAAAAACTTAAAAATTTGTCCAAAATCACCGGATATTCCACCTTTCCGTCTAACTGGAAGACAGTTTCTGAAAATTTACGTTGACGGAGGAGGTAATAAAGGTAGGAGAAAGATGTGTTGTGTGCGCTAAAACCAAAGAAAAGCGAAAGCAAACAACGTATTTTGAATGCGAAATATGCAATGTAGGACTGTGTGTCGATTCTTGTTTTGGATTATTTTACACACAGCAGAATTTTTAAACAGGAATTTAATTCTCTACAAGTAATTCTTATTTAGTTTTTTTTTAATTTCATATTTGTAATTTTTTTCATGTTTATAGTATTTATTTCTCTGTGTATAGTTATGATTTTAGTATTTTGCCGGTTTGATTTATTTCTATTAATGTGATATTCTTTATATTAATACACATTAAAAACAAGTACATTAAATATGCAACTTCGAAAATTGAAATCATAATATAAAAATGCTGATTTTATATTCTTTTTTGGGGGGGTTGTAAAATTAGGTTTAACTGCTGAAAATGCGGGACGGTGGCGACGATCCATTTCAGAGGGGCCGATCCCGTGACTGCGCTTCGTTCTCCCGGTGCTGGCTCTTAAGGGGTTAACTTTTATGCGGGATGGAGCACCACCGCACATTGGTCTATCGGTACAGCAGCTGCTGCGCCATCACTTTACAAAAGAAAGGGTTAAAAGTTGGCCGTCATGAATGTTGTGTACAATGTCTGATTCCCGAGAAGGTGGTCACGTTGTAAAAAGTTTATGCCCTCATGAAACAAATCCATTTGCTACATTAAAGCGGTGTTGCATTGAAATTTCTTGTTTGTAACTAATTTGTGTAGACCAGAACAGCGCCACGTTTTCCGCTGTTGGCAACTTACGGAACTAGATTTTTTCCCATGTCTTCATTAGCTGCCCTACCAAATTTGGTGGCATTCCAACTGATAGACCGAGATACAGATGGCTTTCAGTAGTGTCAGTTGAAATTAAACACCCTCCACATCTAAATAAAATAGTTTTATGTGGTGAAATATCTTTTTGCGGCAGTATTTGGTTGATTTATTTGATTACGGCGAAGCACGCGGAGACTTTCTAAGGAAAACTGGCTCGTCTCCACGTTACACATGGGGAAAACCACGAAAATGCTCATGCTGCTAGTCCGTTCGCCAGTAATCGATCCTAGGTCGAACTAACAGTGTTCAGTACCTTTATTGATCGGTGCTGTGGAACTCGTTTGTATTTGGACGATGGTTGTATCAAGTTTAAAACGGCTACCATTTCTCAAGAATCGTATGAATCACAAGAAACGCCGCAGACCACAATTTTATATTTCAAAATCTGCATAGATTTGATTCCTTCGACTTAAGAAGTATAGCCTAAGTCAGTAATCCTGATTGGGGTAAATTTTACTGTCAATGCTGTAGTTCGCAGATAGCCCAGGTGTGCTTTGATATAGTAAAATAAACCAAACCATCATTATACTGCGTTACTTTCGCCGCACACACTGTAATAACTTTTAAAGCGAATTATTGCAATAGTGCATTCTCTAACTCGAGTGTAGTTATAACATATATGGCATACTGATTATAGCTACGATGTATGTCGATTTACTGGATATGACCACATATTTTAAGCAAAAAAATTATCTATTTATCTATTGCACAATGGGTGATATGCGACAGATTTTCGCATTGAAAGAAAATTGCATGTGTGCGCAACTTAAGTTTTCTGCCACCGTCGAAGAAAACTACTGTCGAGATGATTTTAAGTATTTTATGTGAAAAAAAGTGGATGTTATATGGACATACTTAACATTTACAGAACAAATATTATTTCAAGATATACTTATTAATACTGACTTCACAAAACATACTGTATGGCCTGCAAAAGTGTTGGCGAATATCTTAATGGGCACAACCAAATATAGATGGTTGCTACTGGTTTAACCATCTGCTAACAGACAAAAC